CGTTAATTGGCGAAAAAAATTAATGTGAGTGAGTGAATGTTGTGAGTTGAGATATTTTTAAAATAGTTTTAACGAGCGGCAGCAACCATGAATAACTTAAGTCTTTTTCTTCATTTTCTACGTAGCGGTTTGTCGAGACAGATGGAGAAGTTGCCGAAGGCGGCCGATAAGCCACTGCAGGAATTCCATAGTTAAGAGATACTGCAGGAAGCGATGCAACCAATGCAGTTAGCCGAGAACGAGATTGCATTCCGTCCTAAGCTCTTGTGTATCAAGGGAGGTTATTAAAATTCTTTTACCTGTATGCTTTTGTCCTTGTTGCATATTATTTTCTTTATTCCAAAGAGGCTCAATTCGGTTTCCTCATTCATTAATAATCTTTTGTTTGTTGGATCTATACGACCACAATTTTTTTATGATTTAATTACGAGAAGTTAGCATCCATATCGCATTAGCCTATTGCTAAGAAGTACCCCCTCCCCACCTCCACCAAGAGACAAATACATATCTATATATATTGCAATTCTAGTGTTCTGATTGGTTTAGTCGACTCCGGTTATCAGCTCACATTCCGAGTCAAGTTATATGGAAATGTATTATGCCAACTGTTACGGAACTGAGAAAAGCTTCAAATACTCAAACATTCAGGATGAAATTTAATAAAAAAACTATTCCATTCGCGCTTGTTGGATAAGAGACTGGTTATAGCCCACTCAGTTATTTAACATGTCATATCCAAATACGCTCACGGAACAATTGTTAACAATCAAAATGGTATTAATCCATAGTTTTCATACAAACTCTGAAACTCATTTACTACCATCTTTCGATAAAACTCGAGTGATAATTCAGTACGATCGGTCTTATCTGCTCTCTGTTTTCTTTTCGTTTATTGTGCTTTTCATTTAGCCACCTATATCAAATACAATCACAATCTAGTGAATCACTCAAGCTCACATTAGTCAAAATTATCTGCTCTCTCTTTTTCTTGTCGTTTACTGTGCTCTTCTCTGAGGCAAATACAATCACAAATCTATTGAATCACTCAAGCCCACATTGGAGACACAGTTACATTCAGATTGATGCTGTTTTTCCTGGGTGGTGGCTGTCGTCCAATTTAATAGCAGAGTGGATTCTCACATCTCAACTTTGGGCAACCTATGTGAAGATGTATTTTTAACAAAACTAGATGCATCATATCATTTTTGAACGACAGAAACTATAGAGATACTGGAATTATACTTCTGCTTTCAGTTCATTACCAATATAAGGAAGATTTCGCACGATGGCGATAAGATCTGAGATTAATCTTGCCACAAAATCGTAAAACTCATAACGTCGAGAAAACGTGTGGTTTTGCTTTCATTTCGTGGAAAATAAATGTCTGTGGTCGAGATTGAGCAGTTAAAAGACAGGGTATTCCCAAAATGGCTACAAACGTGATACAAACGTGGAATACGTCACTCATGATCAGTTCCCAAATGTGATGATTGGGTCGATTCTACCTTAATGTATATATACAGTTCTGGTAAAACATTAAAAACACACATCATAAAGCTATGTATTTACGTATTTTTATTTTGTCGCAGTACTTTCTTTTCATATATTATTTAGAGTAAAACGAGGCAATTATTATAGATTTGTCGACTAAAGAATATTAAGTAGTTTACAAAAAAGAAAACGAAAACGATCGTAAAGATTACATACTAGTAAAGGAAAAATAACACTAAAAGAGCATAGTACAGTCTCTGCTTACATTTAAAAAAATATCCAAAAAAAAGAGAAGTGAACATTACAATCAAAGTTTTACATGATGTAGCGTGCGCCTTTTTTATCTCTTCTTTACAACCAAAGAAAGACAAATTTAGATAAAGACAGCGCTTTCTTAATCTTGGATGCCTTGAATGGCTATATAAGGTATGGTTTCGACTACGTAGTTTGATGCGGGTTATTTGAGGTGCGGTTAAAAATATAGTATACTTTATAAAGTGACGGAGATGACGTCAGTAAATTGATATGAGCCAAAACTGCTGATGCAGTTAGGTTGATGCCAGTCGATCAGTCAGTGAAACTGAGTGGCGTGGAGAAGATCGTTTTATACTTCAAAGAACAGGTACTATAACGTCTTGAAATGACTCATATTTGGATATTTATTAAGACGGACGGACGGATCGCCATTGGTACAAATATAATCGATTGATAATTGTGGAAACATTGCTCATACAGCCCTTCTAATAGTAGTGAAAGGAGGAGGTGGCATTTTATAAGCCCTTGCAATATTGCAACTCTTGACGTTACCAGAAGGAGTGCTTTCCCAACGATGGGGATCTGATTTCCTACTTACGCCAGCGCGGATGGAAGAGGCCCAACTTTCACGTGGAAAATATCGTAATATTTTGCATAGTTTGGTGTATGATATGCACAGAAAATTTCCCTCAGTATACGGAGTGTATAGAAACTATGATGAAGTAAGTAAGTTTCCTTATGGTAACTTAAAGGTGAACATTAGAAATATTTAAGACATCTTTAGGTGACATAGGAAAGTTCTGAAATGTATTTTTAATTAAAATTTCAGAAGTCAATTAAAGTCTCCTTATGAATCATTTCATGAACACTTTAAGACCACATGAAAGCAAACCTAAATAACCATTTAATTGACTTTAAGAATCCTCGTAATTCTCGTAAACTTGTCTTTAGTTAACCAAAACTTCTACTTGTAAAAACGTCTTAAAGGTTTCTTTTATCTTTTGTTTCCGTTTAAGTACTACTTAAAGTTGCAGGTTTTGTTGTAATTCATCTTTAGTTGTACTTTCGGGTTTTCTCAAATTTCAAGTTTTGTTAACATTCATCATTAAGTGACCTTTAAGTGCCTCTAAAAGCTGCAGGTTTCACCTTCAATTGACTTTTGATCTGCTTAATCACACCCACATTTATATTACGATATTTTGGGCAACCTTTAAATTGTTAGAAAAAGGGACATCACACATACAAGTAAAGAGAATGTTTGAAATTGCATTGATGAAACAGTTTGGTTCAAAACTCAATTGCTCCCCTGAGATAAAGTAAACCCATAATGAAAGCTGAGGATATCCCATTTGAGGCCCACACACAATTAAAAAAAGAGGTGTCCAAATGTTTGAATTACTAATTGTTATACTTTATTAAAATTGTTCTCTTTCATCAATGCATAGTTCACATAATCTCAGTCATGTATATCGAATAGAATAGCTTAGAATCTTTATCACTAAACAATATAACAAATACACAATATAACAAGCTGAAGCAACACACTGCACAAAAAGCTATTAATTCACAAATTGCACTCTCAAATCCAACCACTAAGAAACGCGATTTGAACTGATACTAACAATAAAAAAAAAATATAAGTTCAACCTATCAATCTAAAAAATCAGTATATTTTTCTTAATCAATTTAAATTTGCAATAACTCTATCAATTATTTGCCATGTTATTACATCTGTAATACTTATTAAATATGATCATATACCTTAATTTTTTTTAGTAAAGCAAACAGTTCTCTTATCTGAATGCAGCTGAAACTTTGATATACAGAAATTACGTGTACATCCATATGGAAAAAAGTATCTCGTGTGGAGGAAATTAAATATAAAATTGAAGAATTCACAATAACTTACTTCAGATAATGAGACCATAAAAATTGCTAAATTACACATTCAATGAATAAGAAGCCTCATGCAGGCATGTAAAAG